CCAACCCCATCCTATCCTATCCCCATCTCATCTCCATTCCCATCCCATTCCCATCCCATCCCACCTAATCTCCATCTCATCCCCATCCATTTCCCATCCCATTCCATTCCATCCTATCCCATCCCCATTTCATCCCATCCCCATCCCCATGCTGCCCACTCCCTGCCCAAGGTCACAGCAGCTGGGCCACAGCCAGGTCATTCCCACATGCACCCACACCTGGAGCCAAAGCAAACAGCCTGTGCTTGTCCCCAGCAGTGCAAAGTGACCCAGTTTGTGCCACCACACCAGGCACCACTCTTCTGTTTTAAATATTTTATTTCTGTAACAACAATCAGACTTAAAAATCTTCCATAAATAAGGGTCCCCACCCCACAGCGCAATGGGTACAAAATGTTGTACAAAACGGACACGAGGCCGGTCAAGGGGGAGGGGGGGGGGGCCACAGAACTCGGCATCAGCACTATGAACACAACGTGGCAATGAGAACCGCAGCAAGGAAGGGGACCCCGTGCCCCCAGCACCGCAGTGGAAACCCCATGGCAAGGTGACAGCGGGATGTCACTGATTCCCAATGGGGCTTAGGGATGGTCCCTCCGGTGTGCCCTCCACACACGGGAGGAATAGGGACAAAGAGGACGGTCCTGATGGGGGTCAGGAGCTGCCACGGATCCTCTCCATGTAGCAGCGCAGCTCCTCAGGGTCACGCAGCCCCATGTCCTCGCACACCCAGCGGATGTCGTCCTCGCCAGCCACCAGGATGGACTGCACGTTGGGGGTGGGCTGGGGGGGATCCTCAGGGGCACGCTGGGGTGCAAAGGTGACGAACTCCACGCGTTTCCGCCGGCTGCCCCCTGGCACAGAGCCTTCTTTGCGGGGCACCACTGAGGTGCCACTTGGGGACCCCACGTCGGGTGCCAGGGGGTCTGCACAGCAGCAGCGCTCGGGCTGGGGGCCTGGCAGGGTGTCAGGCTCAGGCTGCTGGCGGTCCAGCTGCCGGCTCAGCTCCTCCTGGTCAGTGCCCAGCCAGACCCAGTTGTGGGGCTGGGAAGCCGTGGGAGCGGTGCTGGTGTCAGGGGGCTCCTTCTGCTGGTAGCGCAGCACAAAGAAGACGCAGTTAACAAGGAAGATGAAGATGGCCAGGCAGAAGACGCCCAGCAGCACATACATGCCAATCTCCAGGTCGCTCACACGTGCAGGGGCCTTCACCATTTCTTCCTTCTCCTCCTCATGCATGCCACGGCCATAGCCTTCCTCTCTTTCCTCCTCCTCCTCCTCGGAGGAAGACCCCATGCCCTGCAGCTTTGTGTTGACCAGCCTCACATCACCGTGCTCCCCCTGGCCAGCCGTCACCGCCTCACCTGACATGGCCCCCTCTGCCCTTGGGAATTGCATGGGAGACCGGGGGCTGCTTGGGGGGGTCCTGCGCCCTCCAGCCACCTCTAACAAGGCAGTGCCGGCAGCCAACACAGCAGCACGGTGACGGCCACGGCGGCACACATCCAGGGGGTGCAGACTGAGCTGCAGCAGGGCCCCTCGGCCCGGCCCCTCCACCACCACCCGTGGGTGCCAGGATGAGGTCCCCACCACAGTGACCACTGTGGGATCCAGTGAGGTGACAGCGAGCACGGCGTCCTGCCCACCATACAGCTCCATCGGTGCCAGCGTGCCATCAGAGAAGGACAGCCAGACAGATAGCGTCGCCTCCTGCCAGGACACCGAGTGGCACCAGGGTGGCACTGGGGCACAGAGCTCCCCCTGGGCCACCCACAGATCCTCACCTGCTTGGAGTCCTGCAGCGTGGCCGTGGCCTGGCACACGGCAGTGAGCACACCAGGGTGGGTAGGCTCCAGGTGCAGCGCCAGCGTCAGCCCTGCCACCACTGCAGCACGCAGTTCTGTCACTGTCACCTTCTCCTCCGACACCACCAGCATCTGCTCACCCAGGATGGCATCCGACAGCGGGGAGCGCACCTGCAGGCAGCTGGTCAGCATCCCTCCAGTACCACATCTCCCTGCATTGCCCCAAACTTACCTCCACTGAGGTGACTCCAGGCTCCCGGCCCACCAGCACGGTGCCGCCTTCCAGTGATGCCACACGAGGGTCCTGCACACGTGCCCAGCTGGCCACCAGGTGTGTGACATCCAGCAGCCACTCAGGGCCTGGCAAGTAGGACAGGTGGCGGCCACCATCCTGTGGATGTGCCACGAAGTATGCCAGGAACCGCACTGCTGTGCGCTGGTACTGTGGCCGGCAGCTCCGCGCCCGCCGCTCGGCATCCTCCCCAGGGTCCTCTACATCACTGCTAGAGCTGTGGGCACGAGGACACATGTGTCACCCACAGGCAGAGGGGCGAGTGTCATGAGTGCCAAGGGGAGCTTGGTGGGGCACTGGGCCACGGGATGGGGGGCAGGGGGACACCATGAGCGCCATTTGGACTCAGAAAGACATGCGGCACATGCACCATGGGGCTCAGAGGGACAGGGACACACAGCACAAGTGCCAGCTCCCTTCCACCCTTCGCCAAAGCAGCAGTGGCACAGAGTGTTCCTCTCACCTGTCGGTGTTCCCAGGCAGGCGCCAGCCACGCACCTGCTCCAGGGCAGTGTCTCCCAGCTGGACACGCAATGGCAGCAGCGGTGCCCAGACGGTGAAGAGCAGCGAGGCGTGCAGGCGGTGTGCCCAAAAGTCCACCCGCACCCCGCGGGCACCGCGGCTCTCCTTGCCCCCCACGAACACCGCGTCACAGCCCTCCGACACCTGTTGGGGCACACGGAAGGGCAGAGGGTGCCCAGGGAGTGGTGCTGGGGGGAGCTGGGACTCTGCTCACCTGCAGCACCTGTGTATCTGCTGACTCACAGGCTGGCGGCTCAGTGAGCTCGGACACGACACCACCCACCTCCACCGTCACCAATGTCACTGGCACGGTACGGGGGACACCGGTCAGCGGGGATGTATTGAGAAGCTCCAGCTCCTGTGGACACAGTGGGGCTGAGCACCATGGGGAGGTGGGGTGGGATGCGGGATGGGGGCACCCACCTGCACCAAGGGGACGAGGACGCGCATGTCACGCTCTGACACCTGCACCTCCCACACCAGCTTGTCCTTCTGCGCCTCAGGGTCCTGGCCTGGGTATTCCACTTGCCAGGTGAGGGGCCGTGCCAGTGCCTGACCCCCCGTGCCATTCTCCACCGCCAGCTCCAGGTGGAGGAGCTCAGCCGCCTCCAGTGTCCTGCAGGAACAGAGCTCCGGATAGGACCCACTGGGATGGGGACCCAACAGAATGGGGATGTCCATCAACAGAGACCCACTGCTTCAGGGCTGCCCCACATCCCAAACTAGGACCTACTGGGATGGGACCACCCTGCATCCCCAACTGGGACCTATTGTTGAAATAGGGCTCTCCCACACCATCAGCCATCCAATTAGAATTTGCTGGGACGGGGACAGTGCAACATGCACAGGTTCCCTTGCCCAAGTGAGCCACACTGGGCTGGATATGCTGCCATACATGGGCCCTAATGCCAATTGGGCCATTGTGGGATGGATGCAGTGCCACACACAGCTCCCTGTACCCATACTGGGACGGATGCAGTGTCATGCACAGTTCCTTGTGACCAACTGGACCACAGTAGGATGGGAGCAGTGCCATGCACAGGTCCCCATGCTCAACTGGGGCCATACTGAAATGGATGCAGTGCCACGTGCAGCTCCCCATGCCCAAGTGGGCCCCACCAGGTGCCACGCTGAAGATTTCTCCCATATCACTGCCCATACCTGCTGCTCCTATGGATGTCCCTGCTGCGCCGACACGTCACCACAGCCGACCAGTGCTTGGGGCCACGGCTGCGTTCCAAATGGACAGTCCATGCAGGGTCCCCAGACCTGGCAGCCACCACCTGCAGCCCCTTCTTGGCCTTGACTCTACATAATAAGGAAGGGCCGTCACACTGTGCCCCCATCACAACCCCCCTCCTCACCACGTGCTCTCACCGCAGGGTCAGCAACGTGGCGGTGAAGTTGTGCCGCAGCGCCAGGCTGGCGGTGAAGCGCTGCCCAGGCCGCAAGGCTCTGTTGGGGACGCGCAGCAGCACCCTCTCATCCAGCTGCACCTCTTGCCGTCGTGCCACTGCCGGCACTGTCTGCAGCTCCAGCTTCCCCACATACCGCAGGGGCTCCACTGTGGTACTGGGACGGTTGCAGGTTCCCAGCCCAGCCACACCATACCACAACTCGACCGACTCCGGGGACGACACCGGGGAGAACCAGCGTGCTGGGATCTCCAGTTCCACCAAGCAGATGCCCAGTGGGGCCTGGGGGAGATAGCAGCCTTAGGGCTTGGGGCTGTGTGGAGCCAGCAGCGCTACGGCGACAGCACCTTGGGGCTGCGGGGCTGTGACCCACCTGCACACGGCAGGAGCCTTGCACCGTCCGGCTGTGCTGCTGGGCCTGCAGCACAATGCAGGGCAGCGAGTGGTCCCCAGGGGTGTCCCGCCGGCCACGCCAGTCAGGGCCGTGCAGGTGGAAGAGGACGCGGGCGGTAGGTTCATCTGGACTCACAGTGCTGTGCAGGGGCACGGCACGGATGGCCCAGGTGGGACTCTTGGTGGGCACCTCCTGGAAGAGATGGGGATGGCGGTGTGGTGGCCCCGTGGGGGTCAGCACGGCTTTGTGGTGGTTGGCATTACCTGGTGGG